TCGAACCCCTCCCCGCGGCCCCCCAGTCCATCATGAAAAGGGGGGGGGGTCACTACCGGTTCGAACCCCCCCTCCCCCCCTCGAAAACCGGGGGGGGGGGGCGGACAGTGGTGGGGACGGTGGTGGTGGGGACAGTAGTGAGGGGACAGCGGGACAGTGGTGAGGGGACAGCGGGGCAGTGGTGGGGACGGTAGTGGTGGGGACATTGGTGAAGGCGGTGGTGAGGACAGTGGTGGGACAGTTGCACGGTGGGGAAAGTGATGGGGACAGTGGGGACAGTGGGACAGTGATGGACGCTGGGACAGCACAGTCGGACAGCACAGTCGGACAGCGGCGGGGACAGTGGGACAGTAGTGGGTACAGTGGGTACAGTGGGGACAGTGGGACAGTGGTGGGGACCGTGGGGAAAGTGGGGAGAGAGGGACCGTGGTGGGACAATTGTGGGGAGAGTGGGGACAGTGAGACACTGGTGGGGGGCACTGGTGGGGACAGCGGGGACAATGGTGGGAACAGTGGGGACAGTGGGACAGTGGTGGGGACGGTGGTGGTGAGGACAGTGGTGTGGGGACAGTGGGACTGTGGTGGAAACAGTGGGACAGTGGAGGGTACAGTGGTGGTGGCGACAGTGGTGAGGGCGGTGGCGAGGACGGCGGTGGGACAATGGGACAGAGGTACAGTGGGGACAGTGTTGGGGACAATGGGGACAGTGGTGGGAACAGTGGGACAGCTCAGTGGGACAGCGGAGGAGACAGTGGGACAGTGGGGACTGGGGATAGTCGGGCAGTGGTTGGGGCCGTGGAGAAAGTGGCGAGAGTGGAACCGTGGTGGGAACAGTGGTGGGGACAGTGGGGACAGTGCGACAGTGGTGGGGGCACTGGTGGGGAAAGTAGGGACGGTGGTGGAACCAGCGGGGACAGTGGTGGTGAGGACAGTGGTGCTGGGAACAGCAGTTGGGGATGTGGTGCGGACGGTGGTAGGGACCAGGAGTCGTTTGCTGGCCGTGAGGGGGGGGGAGAGGGGTTCGAACCGGTAGTGACCCTGCCCGGTTTTCGAGGGGGGGTGTTCGAACCAGTAGTAGACCCCCCCCGGTTTTCTTCGAGGGGGAGGGGGGGGTGTTCGAACCGGTGTGACCCCCGCGGTTTTCGAGGGGGGGGGGGGTTCGGACCGGTAGTGACCCCCCCGGTTTTCTGGAGGGGGGGGGGGGGGGTTTGAACCGGTAGTGACCTTCCTTTGGTTTCTGGGGGGGAGGGGGGGGTTCGAACCGGTAGTGACCCCCCTCGGTTTTCGAGGGAGAGGGCGGGGGGGGGTCGAACCGGTAGTGACCCCCCCTGGTTTTCTGGAGGGGGGGGGGGGGGAAGGGGAGGGGGGGGGTTTTGCCGGGGGAGGGGAGGGGGGGGGTCCAGCAGGGGGGGGGGGGGGATTTTCGGAAGGGGGGGGGGACCCCCGGGTTCTGGAGGAAGAGGGGGGGAATTTTCCACAGTAAAGCGGCGGTGGATCACGCTCTCTCGTACATCAAGATCGATACCCTCGTATTGCAACCTGGCACGTTCCTTGGCACGGTCCGTGGCGCGTCCCGTGGCGAGTCCCCCTGGCACGTCGCGCGGCGCGTCCCCTGGCACGTCTCGTGGCACGGCCATTGGCACGTTCCGTAGCGTGTCCCCTTGGCACGTCCGGCGGTGCGTCCTCATGGCACGTCCCCTGGCACGTCGCCTGGCGCGTCCCTTGGGACGTTCCGCGGGCGTCCACCCAGCATGTCCCCTTGTCAATTAGCTCTGGGGCAGCTTCGATGTGCTCTGGCAACTCGAACTTAAGATCCAGCTCATTTCGGTCAGGACTCGGATGCAAAGGAGGACTCGACCCACAACACTATAGTGCACAATCGAGGCATGGCACATTGCAGTTCAGCACGGCGCAGCACAGCACAGCCTTCGGCACGGTACATCGAGATCGGTATACTCAGCATTGCATTTGCCCGTCGCCCAATCAGGTGTCTTTGAAACGTTGCCATGCTTTGCATGTCTATATTTATTTCCGGGTTCGTGGGTCGGCCATGCTTCAAAACTTAAGTGCTGTTGCTTGTCAAGAGTAAGTATTGTCGATCCCCCCTCCTCCCTCTCGGTCTGCCCAGGCGCGTTCGGTGCGCCATCGGGGGCCCGGCCCGCCGCGTCGAGTCAGGAAATCGATTCGTTTCGCTCCGCCCCCCCCCCCCCCCTCCGGTTCCCCTTCTATGCCTTTTCCGTTGGGGTGTTCTCCCTTCAGGCAGTGGCAAAGCATCCCGGCTCGCCTACTGGCCAACCAAATAATGTTCAAAGAAATTATGGTTTACACGAAACGTTCTTAGAATCTTTCTGGCTGCGTCTGTCTTGTTTTAACACGTCCTGTTTGTGTTCTGAGAACATTGCTTTTGTTTTTAGCTCATTTCTTGGTTCTAAGAACATCTCGTGGTATGCCTGTAGGAATGCCGGGACGGTCGGTCCCTACTGAATTCCTGGGGCTCGCACCTGATTCTTTACGAGGGAGAGTTTGGGGCCTCCGACTGCGTTGTTGTCCCCGGTTCGCAGCGGCAGCAGCAACAATCATTTTAAGTATGTTCGTTCTTATTCGCTCGCGTGCCATTCAACACGTGTATCCCAAACCCTCGGTAATCCGCCCTCTTTGTCTTCGGTCGTACCCCCCGTCGAGATATATCTTCCCTAACTGCCGCGTGTAGTTGACGCAGCCCCCAAAACAGGGGAAGCAGGGGATGATTGAAGGGACGAGAGATATTTGCAGGGACTTGCTTGCCATCCGCTTTTGCGAATCCCTCTCGCTAATCCCTCTCGTCCTCCATCTTTTCCCTCCCCCCTCTTGCCCCCTTACCTCCGCCCTCCCTTCCTCCACTCACGTCCTCGCTCTCTAGCGGTTTCATCATCGTTGCCCTTTATGTTGTTAAATGTGCGCCAAGTTTGCGTGGCAGGGAGGGGAGATACACCCCCTCAAGCGGACACGGCCAAAGACGAAGATGGTGGGTATCGGATTCGGATGATTCATGCTGAATGAGACGAGAGCAGATGAAGAGCGAACAGTCTTTACATGATAGCTGTTGTGCATGTGTGTGCTTTTGCGTGTGTGTGTGTGTGTCTGTGTGTCTCTGTGTATGCGTGTGTGTGTGTGTGTGTGCGTGTTTGCGTGCATGCGTGCGTGCGTGTGTGTGTGTGTGTTTTTGTGTGTGTCTGTGTCTGTGCCTGTGCCTGTGCCTGTGTCTGTGTCTGTGTCTGTGTCTGTGTCTGTGTCTGTGTCTGTGTCTGTGTCTGTGTCTGTGTCCGTGTCCGTGTCCGTGTCCGTGTCCGTGTCCGTGTCCGTGTCCGTGTCCGTGTCCGTGTCCGTGTCCGTGTTTGTGTCTGTGTCCGTGTCCGTGTCCGTGTCCGTGTCCGTGTCCGTGTCCGTGTCCGTGTCCGTGTCCGTGTCTGTGGCTATGGTTGTGGCTGTGGTTGTGGCTGTGTTTGTGTCTTTGTCGGTGTTTGTGTCTGTGTCTGTGCTTGTGTCTGTGTCTGTGTCTGTGTCTGTGTCTGTGCCTGTGTCTGTGTCTGTGTCTGTGTCTGTGTCTGCCTCTGTGTCTGTGCGTGCGTGCGCGTGTGTGTGTGTGTGTGTGTGCGTGTGCACCAACCTTCGTCATGGCATGCATGTCAGCGCGGACTCCCGCCAGGGTAAGCTTGCAGCGGTCGTCACTGGTTTCCCATGCCACCCTCTTTTCAGCCTGGGAGCTGAGCCTTCAAACCAGAACGAGCTGACGCTCCGCCTGCTTATTCTTGTTGGGAGGGGGGTCGCCGTCAGATTCTGGAACTTGGACCTGGGCGCCCACGAAGTTGAGCGATTCGGCCGCGGGCCCCCGAAGCCCTAAGTGACAGAACTGAAGGTCGGGTCCCCCAGACTGGGGTCGTTGACTACACGCGCTTGCTCTTGAACGGCTCCGCGCTGGGGAGGACCCGTGCCACGCCTACAGTCAACCCGCGCAGTACGGATGGGCAACCTTCCCGAGGGCACCTCTGCATCATTGCCTCCTCGGTCCACCCTTGACCACTTCCGTTGGCCGCGCCCCGCTCGAGAAGCCTCGAAATGGGCGTCCAGGGCCCTTGCATCCGCATCGCGCATCCTCGCTGTACGGGTTGGCTGCAGACAGCACTGGCAGAAGCTGTGAGCCCTCATTCCCACTTGAGAGCGACACCCTGGTGCCACGACGTGGGCACACTGAACATTCGGGGTGCGCTGTCGAACGGGCGACCTCGGGCACAGGTGCTCACAGCGGCGGGTTGCGGGGCCCCACTGTCAGATCCAGGAGCGGAAACACACACACACACACACGGACGCAATTAATCGTCGACGCCCAGGAGAATCTGTCAAGATCTGGGAAGTGGGGGGGAAGACGCATACCCAGAAACCATGGAAAGATATTGGGAATCGTGGGAGTTGTGTCTGTTTATTTGTGTGTCCCAGGGCCCCTTCACAGATGGCCCGCGACGGCCGCTGCGGAAGTGCGCACACGACAGCTGGGCCCTCCCTGAACGACAGATTGTCCTGTGCCGACGAGCGCCCTGTCGGTCTGCAGGGTCCGACTGCCGAATGGCCCGCGACGGGCGCCGGGAACGTGCTCGTTTGACAGCCCCGATGGTCAATGCAGAAAGGGGGTCAGCCAGAGCGCCGGATCTTGCAGGATCCTGCAGAGCCAGGGGTGCATTGACCCGGGCTCGGGTGCAGGATATTGCAGGACCCTGCAGGATCCTGCAAGATCCTGCAACGCATGACTGACCTGGGGTTGCATGCACCCGGGTCAGTGCGTCCCCGATAGCAGAGCCCCGCTGTCAAGAGGGAGGTCTTGGGCGACGATAGCCCGCTCACAGAGGGGCTTTGCCTTCTCGCGGCGGGCGCCGCCCAAGTGTGCACGCGACACCGGTCCCGCTGTCAGCATGGGCATCCTCAATCGGACACGCCTGGAGACTCCGATGTGGTCGGCGGGTTTGAAGCTGGAGAACGTCCTCCTCGACTCCAGCGGCCACGCGAAGCTGGTCGACTTCGGATTCGCCAAGGTCGTCCGCAACCGTTCGTTCACGATGTGCGGGACCCCAGACTATTTGGCGCCAGAGATCATTCAGAGGGAGGGCCACGACATGAGCGTGGATTGGTGGGCCATGGGCGTCCTGACCTACGAGATGCTGTCAGGCCACACTCCGTTCAGGGGGCGCACACACCACGCCATCTACGAGAAGACTTTAACGACTGAGCCGGAGTACCCCACCCATTTCACGAAGAACGCCAAAGCCATTGTCAGCAGGTTGCTGACCAAGGACAAAGCTCGCCGCCTTGGCGCCGGCGATCACGGCGCCGAGGACGTGAAGAACCATTCGGTGGCTGCGACAGGGGCGAATACAGCTCAGACCCTCAACGCATCAGATATTCAAGAGATGCTGTTATTTTGGCGAGTGCCCGAGCCGCTTTCGAAATCGCAGCATATCGAGACACTGAGCAGACAGAGGGCTCGCCAGCCATCTCTGCGATACTCGCCGCTTGCATGACTGATATGCCCAGATCGTGGCACGGAGGTCTCTTGGATGTCTCTTGGAAGCCTCCCGGGGGCCTACCAGCTGTCTGGCGGATCCTCCTGGGGTGGGAACTGCAATTCGCCCCTTGTTCGTAGGCGGGCTTTGGGCGCCCCTTGGGCCATCTAGGACGCTCGAATACCGAACAACATTTGTTCTTGCGAAGAGCAGGCGATGAGTTCACGTTGATCAATGGTCGGTGTCGGCCTCTGGGGCTGGCCCCCAGAGGGTCCAATATGGCCCAAAAGACTCGAATGAGAGCTCCAACGCGAACCCTGGGACCATCTCAGGGTACGTTGGAGGGTGAGGCCCTCAAGCACGCTCCCTGGGCATCTGGGAAAGTCACGCGGGGACCTTCGAGAGCGCCAAGAAGGGCCCGACAATTCCGTAAACGAGGGCCTGGCGTTCTCCAGAAGATTCTACAGTCAGCAAAGGGGCTCGAAGGGACCTGGGGACTCCACTCAGCGCCTCGCAGCACATTTGCGGATGGTGTGATCAGGCTGTGTAGCCTTGGACCGTCGAGTGTAAAGGTACCTCCTGGGATATTCGCCCCCGTCAAAGCCCCCGTGCCGTCGGTGGTTCGGCTCGGTGGACTTCGACATGGTTTTGCGGAGACAGTACAAGGCTTGTCCTGGTCCTTCTCCTTGTCATCCTTCCCATCCTCGTCGTCCTCCTCTTCCTACTCGTATGTTTCATTCTCCTCCTAATCCTCCTCTTTTCTCCTCTTCATCCTCATCCTCTTCCTCACCCTCCTCCTCCTCCTCCTCCTCCTCCTCCTCCTCCTTGTTCTCCGTCTCGCCCTCCACGTCGCAGCGGAGCAGCGTGCGACGGGCGGCAGCTCTGCAGGTATGAGAGAGGGTGATGGCGAAGAAACAGAGAGAGAGAGAGTGAGAAAGAGGAGCAAAGGGAGAGAGGGAGGGAGAATGAGAGAGAGAGGGAGGGACGGATAACGAGAGATGAAAAGATAGAGAGGGAGAGAGAGAGGAATAGAGAGAGAGAGAGGGAGAGAGAGGGAGAGAGGTAGAGGGAGAGAGAGCGAGAGAGAGAGAGAGAGAAAAGGAGAGGGGGAGATAGGGAGGGAGGGAGCGAGCGAGAGATCCCCACCGGTGCACTGCCTCCACGGAGTGGGGCCTCCGAGGAGGTGCCGTGACCCGGCTGCCAGGTGCTGCGGCGGGAAAAACCGCCTGCAGGCCTGGCCCCCGCAGCCTCTGCGGGGCGCGGTCTCGCTCTCGACGGCTCCGAGCGGGGCACCGTCGTAGCGCACTGTGCCACCACGCAAGGAGTGAGGGCAGACGGGGAGGGCGGGCGGCCGAATCGGGGGGGGAGGACAAGGCGGGGGGCCGCTCCGGGGGCCAGGCCACGCTCGGAGCGAGTGGCGCGGCCTGCCCCGCCGGCGGGGTCTGCGGCGGCTGCTGCGCCGGGGTGCCAGCGGCGGCGGGACGCCAACAATGACATGTGGATTTTCGAAGGACTGCGCGGATTTCCCGGAACGGCGCTGGACACCCCTGGCGGCGCCTCCGTCGCCGCCCCGCCACAGAGGGGGTCCAGCGTCGATCCAGGATAATCGCACCGATCTGCAAATGTTATTCCCCCAACAGTGCTTGCACGGGCTTCTTGCTTCTTTTCTATGGAGCTGGGCCTGTCTGTCGGTCTGGCGGCTAATTACGTGGCCGCCGTCGCCGCCTCGTCGTTGCCCGTCGTTTGGGCCTGTCTGTCGGTCTGGCGACTATGTGGCCGCAGTTTTCGTCGCCGCCCAAGATTCTCCTTACTAAAAACAGAATAGGATCCCCCCCCCCCCCGGCGTTCTTTTCGGGTATGTAAATCATATACGATTCTGACCACATGTCCATCCTAAATATGAAATCGCAATGTCAAATGCCAACCGGTATCCCCCCTGAGGGACCCTTGTAAAAAAACACAATGCGGTGACATTTGTTGTTCTAACATAACACTGTTTCGCGAATCCCTTGCAAAAAATGGGACGAAGTGCACACGCGCGCGTCGTCGCGCGCGCATGCCGAAATCCTTCAAAAACCTTCGGTGCCGGAAGGATTTCGCAATCGATTTCTCCGAAAAACATACAAAAACAAAAGGTTTCGCAACACTGATTTGCTAAAAAAGCTTCGCGCGAGCTCTTGCGAAATCTTAAGAGAACCATCGGTTTTTCAAGATTTTCACAAAATGCTACCAAACGGGCTTCGCGCGCGCATGCCGAAATCTGTCGAACGCCCTTGCGCGTGTGCCGTCGCGAGAATCCTCTGCAATAAATTTGACGAAGTACAGACGCGCGCGTCGTTGCGCGCGTACGCCGAAAACCTTCAAAACCCATCGGTTTCGGAAGGATTTCAAAATCGTGTGTCCAAAAAACCTGCAAAAAAACACAAGGTTTCGCAAACACACATTTGCTAAACAAACTTCCGCGCGAGCTCTTGCGAAATCTCAAGGAAACCATAGGTTTTTCAAGATTTTCACAAAATGCTACCAAACGGGCTCCGCGCGCGCGAATGTCGAAATCTGTCGAAGGCCTTTGCGCGTGTGCCGTCGCAAGAATCCTTTGCAATAAATGGGACGAAGTGCAGACGCGCGCGTCATCGCGCGCGTATGCCGAAAACCTTCAAAACCCATCGTTTTCGGAAGGATTTCAAAATCGTGTGTCCAAAAAACCTACAAACAACATAGGGTTTCGCAGCACGGATTTTCAACAAAAGCGTGCGCGCGCGCTCTTGCGTCGTCGTCGTCGTCGTCGCCGTCCTCCCTCCTCCCGCGTCGTCGTCGTCGTCGCCTACGTCGTCATCTGCCTTTCCTCGTGTTCGTCGTCGTCGTCGTCCTCTGGCGTCATGGTCGTTTCCGTCGTCGTTGTCGCCGTGGTCGTCCTTCCTCCTCCTCCCCCGTCGTCGTCGTCGTCGTCGTCCGTCGTCGGCGCCTCGTCGTCGTCCCTCCTATTTCGTCGCCGTCGTCGTCGTCGCATCGTCGTCGTTGTCGTCGTCGTCGTCTTCCCTCCTCCCTCGTCGTTGCCGTCGTCGGCGTCGCCGTTCTTCCTCCTTCTTCGTCGTTCGCGTCGTCGCCGTCCTCCCTCCTCCCTCGTCGCTGTCGTCGTTGTCGTCGTTGTCGCCGTGGTCGTCCTTCCTCCTCCCTCGTCGTCTTCGTTGGCGACGTCGTCGTCGTCTTCGTCGTCGGCGTCGGCGTCGTTGTCGTCTTCGTCGTCGTCGACGTCGGCGTCGTCGTCGTCGCCGCCGTCGTCGTCGTCGGCGTCGTCGTCGGCGTCGTTGACGTCGTCGTCGTCGTCGGTGTCGTCGTCATCGTCGTCGTCGGCGTCGTCATCGTCGTCGTCGTTGTCATCGTCGTCGTCGTCGGCGTCGGCGTCGGCGTCGTCGTCGTCGTCGGTGTCGTCGTCGTCGTCGTCGTCGTCGTCGTCGTTGTCGGCGTCGTCGAAGTCGTTGGAGACGTCGTCGGTGTCGTCGTAGTCGTTGTCGTCGTCGTCGTTGTCGCTGTCGTCGTCGGCGTCGCTGTTGTTGCCAAGTGCCATTTGGTACCCACCGTCACGGTCTTAAGAGATGTTGCAAAACAAGTGGCGTGTGGGTGGGTGGGATGTTTGCGCGAGCAGTGGAGTGGACAATTCATTGCGAACAGGAATTGATTGCACAGCATGGGTTCTTCTTTCTCTAGAGGTGTTTGGACCTACCCTTCCCCGGACTTTACGGCACACTTTTCCGTATTGCTTTATCTCATACGATGCTGCGCCTGCGCCCACACTATATTTGGATGGAAAGCATCCCTTGCAGTCCCGCGTCGGACCCCCCCCATCCCCCGCAATAAGTCGTATGCGCGCGCTCGCTTTTCAAAACCCATCCTCCTCCTCCTCCTCCTCCCCCTCCTCCTCCTCCTCCTCCTCCTCCTCCTCCTCCTCCTCCTCCTCCTCCTCCCCCTCCTCCTCCTCCTCCTCCTTTTTTTCCAAAAACAACTCTTGGCAAGAACTGGGGCGAAGTGCGCACCGCGCGCACCGTCGCGCGCGCATGCCGACATCATTCACACCAATGGGTTTCGCGAAGAGTTCAAAACCGAGTGCCCCGGAAACGTATAGCAAACAGAGCGTCGCAACCGGAGCTTTCAAAGAAGGTCTGTGAGCGCCTTCCTATGAGTTCTTTGCTACCACAAGTGCCTCTCGCGCACGCATGTCCACACCGTTCGGACGCCCTTGCGCGCGTGCCGTCGTAAGAATCCGCTGCAACGAATGAGACGACATGCGCACGCGCGCGCCGTCGCGCGCGCATGCCGGAAGGTTTCGCAAGGATTTCCCAAATCGGGTGTCCCGAAAACATATATGAACACATCGTTTTTGTAACATCAGGTTTCGAACAATTTCTCTGCGCGCGCGCTCCTGCGACTTCTTAAGGAAGTTATCGAAATATATGAACCTTCCAAGGAAACCTATGCGGAGTCCACCTGAGCGTGCGCGACGCCGTTGATGGATAACGGTTGAGTTTCATCCATCTGCCGTAGCTGTGTTGGCTCGAGACAGGCAGCGGAGTCACCGGGCGGTGCCGCCCGTCTGTGGCCGCTGCCGAGCCACTCTGTCTACTGAAAGTTCGCCGCGCCGAGCGCGGCCGCGTGCAGGCCACGCTCGGACGACTGATTCTGATCAGCCTCGCTGGCAGACTTTGCGGGCTGAGGGGAGCGAAGACCTGGCTGGGAGACGAGGATCCCGGGCGCGGGTCGCCCCTCTCCCGCGCCGCTGCTGGCGAGGAGCCCGATGGAGCGGGCAGCCCCGGGTGCCGCCGGGTGGCCCTTCCCGAGAGGGGCCTGGCTCGACGCGGCGCTGAACGGCGACCTGGTGCCGGGGCTGCCGCTGTGGGCTGGTGCACGGGTCCTGGCGCGCGTCAAGGACGACGACGGGGCGCCGCAGGGCGTCGAGATGCTCGAAGTGGAGGTCGCCTACCAAGCGGACGCCTTCGGCCGTTTCTTCAAGGGGCGGCACGTGGGCGCCAGCGACCCGTACTTCTCATGGTATGCAGCCTCCTCCGGGCAGCAGGGCGCGCGCCCCCTGGCCACGGTCTTCCACCTCTGCAAGTGCAGCGCCGCCGAGTGCGGGGCGGTCGCCCCAGTGGGCGCAGTAGTCGAGCACTTGGACGTGTGGCAGGTGGTGGACCCCCGCGATGTGGCCCGCGAGCAGGCGAAGCTCATCTGCCCGGCCGCGGACCCTGGAGCGCCTGTGCTGGCCGACGCGCCCTCGGCCGAGCCGATGCCTGGAGAGCTCGGCGGATGGCCGCTCGGGGACGGGGCCAACGAGGACGAGGAGGAGCCTCGCGGGCCACCGCGCAAGCGAGCCCGCGAGGTGGAGGGCACCCAGACCCCTGGCGGACCAGGAGATACGAGCCCGCTCGACCAGGAGCTTGCTGGGCTCGAGGAGACCGCCGAGGACCCCGAGCTCGAGGCGCGGCTGGCGCGGCTCGGGGGCAAGGCAGCTCGTGGTGGGCCGAGGCAGGGCACGCCCAAGAATGCCGCGCGCCCAGCAGGGGCCGTGGGCGAGCGCCTGGCGCAGGTGGTAGCTGGCCGAGCCGCCGCTGCTGCCCCTGCGCGCGCCAGCGCCTCGGGATCGAAGAGCAGGCTGGCGTCAGCGTTGACCG